TACACCAAAACAAATTATGTAATATATGGTGATTAACATAACAATAAAAAATTTTAAAAAAAGAACAGAAATTAGGAACAACCCAGGGCCCAAATACCCATCTGCTGGAAAATGTAGAATTAAATTCTGGCTTATCGATATAATGGAATAGAATACAATAAAAAAAATGAATGGACTAGAGCCACGGTAATCAATATAAGTAAATCTCAGTAATGTGAATTGAAAAAATCAAATTAAAGTTTGTATTATTCATGTAAAAATTTAATATACATGAACAATACTAAACACTGGATACCTACATTTGTAGTAAAATTATAAAAACATTATTAGTAACTCACCAACTTCAAAAGAGTAGTTACCATGTAGAAGTGTAGGGGATATAGATTAAGAGTAGATATACTGTTATGTTCTGTTGTGTTGGTGGTGGTTATTTCTTTTAAAAAAATGTTGTAGAGGAAATACAGCACATTAATGCTTGTTAAATCTGGGTGGTGATTACATGGGTGTTTCTTTCAAAGTATTTCATTTACTTATTCATTCTAAATACTGAATTGCTAAATGGTGATAGAAGTAGAGGAACTGGACAGAATCAGTGATTGGTTCATCTACATGTTCACCCATCTCCTGGAAATTTTAATTTTAGTGAATATACCATGAGAATAAGATTGCTGTGAAGGGAGTTGACATGAAAAATCTGTCTAGTGCTATTGATCTGAGTTGTTTGCCTTAAGTTTCACCTAAAAATACTCAATGGCAAAAGAGTTTTCAATCTTTGCCTGACTTCCCTTCTTCTGATATGTGATATAAGAAATAACATGTTATCAAAACAGGCATCCAACTAGAAGCAGAAAATTATTAATCAGTTTGTGTAATTAATAAGCTAAATAATTTAAGCCAACAAAAAATAAAAATAACTTATTTAAATGAGACTAAGTCAATACATGTATTATGTGTATAAATATCTAAATGTATTATGGATGTAATATCTAAAATGAATTCTTTCATTTCATAGCAAACTTGTGGCATGTAACTTTTTCTTCCCTGGCAAGTTAGTTTTCATATGTGGGAAGAGTTTATTGCCCTTACTTGTCTGCCTATACCTTATCACCTACAGAAACTCTGTAGTTGAACATCTTTAAGATTGTGCACATGCCATTGGTACAATAATGATTTTTCAGAGTTGTCTCTATCTTTGTTTAGAAAATATATTATCAGGGCGCCTGGGTGGCTCAGTTGGTTAAGCGACTGCCTTTGGCTCAGGTCATGATCCTAGAGTCCCAGGATGGAGTCCCACATCGGGCTCCCTGCTCAGCAGGGAGTCTGCTTCTCCCTCTGACCCTCTTCCCTCTCATGCTCTCTCTCATTCTCTCTCTCTCAAATAAATAAATAAAATCTTTAAAAAAAAGAAAATATATTATCAGACAAGTGGTCATTGAAATGAAATGTCATTTAATTTGAGAATATAATTATTTGTGTCCACATCTGTGTCCTCCTATGAAGTGAATTAATTATATAGGCATAAGGGTCTACCGCTCTTCTATTTTCTACTCTTACTCTCTAAGTTAGAATTTTAAAGTTAGATAAAACAGAGATACATAAGAAAATTCTCACTATTGTCCATGAGTAAAATAACCGTAATAATTAAAATACCAAGGATATAAATGTCCTATGTTTGAAATGATACCTGTTTTTCCATCTAAATTACTGTTGCTCTAAAATGGATTAAAACAATGCATCTGGAAGTTGACACAGTGCAATGAAATGATTTGGTATGGAACTTATTTTTCAGGAGCAAGAAAACCAGTTACCCAAGGGGAATAGGAAAGTAAATACGAGCCAAATACATTTTACTTTAGGATCAAAGCAATTTGAAATAATCACATACTGGTTTCCTAGGCAAGGAGAGGCCAAGGGAAGGGGAGGAATATGTCTTTAGACTTCCAATCTGATAGTTACCTAAAAAAAAAAAAAAAATGTAATCTTTCTTGGCAGGTTTAGATCCAGATAAGCATCTTGGAAAAACCCTGGATCAAATGGAACCTTATCTCTTAGAGGTAAGAATTTATACTATTTCTCAAAATATAGGCATCTAAAGGAAGAAAAAAATAAGGCCATGATATGATTATAAAATTAATTTTATTTTGGAAAAACTCTGATAGCATTCATGATATAGTTTTGTGAAAAAAATTAACTAATGGATATGAAGATATCAAAAATTAATTATGAAAATCATTACTAGTTTTTTGGTCTGAATAAAGAAGTAAGCTATTCCTAAAAGAAAACTGTCCTGTCAGAAGGTTTTTTTTATTAACATGGACATTGTATGCTATATATGAAGTACTATACTCCTAAAGTAGCTGATAGTCTCTGTGATCAGATGCTTTTCAATCAAAAATGTGAGTAGGAACTTCCTTCAGAGATGATCTAATCTAATCTCTTCTCTTTTACCAATTAGGAGATTAACTTGCAGAGTAGCAAAAAAAAATTATTTTAAGGTTTCAAGTAACAATCATTTAACCCATTATGATTGTCAAATGCTAAATGTGTTCGAAACTTTAAAGAAGATTTAGTTATTTTCATTATTTTCTATTAACTGTTATTATTATATTTTATGAGAGATTGGGGCAAATGTTATTTGCATGGCAATGACAACTAAAGGAGTATAATGAGAGTATTTCATTTCACAGTTATGATGGAAAAAAGAAAATTACCTTGCTTCTGTGAAAGAACTGAACTCCTCTAATAAGTTATCATGTTCCCCTCCCCATCTCTTAATTTATCAACATTATCTCTGGACATTGTTAATATAGTTAATGTGATGTGCTAGCAGTTACTACCTTCTTTACTAACTTTATGGTTTTTGGATTTTCTTTCAGTTATTTGCACTTGATTATTTTATGGTTTATCAATATATACCAAATGCTTAGAAATCCCTGAAATGTTTATTCCTTTTTTCACTAAACATCAGTAAGCATCTAATATATGTGAGGCAAGTAGTAAAGATAAAAATTAAAATGAAATGAGAATATAATTGAGACAAATTATATTTGATTTCTAGATAATTTAAGTTGATGACATGTTTTTTTATGCTACTCTGATAGGACTTTTCTCACAGCAATTTGTGTTATGGCCAACATATCTATGTTTACATCTATTCCCTATCATCAGATTAAATTTTGCTTCTGAAAAAAACAATGTACATAAATAATGAAATTAAAATTATGGGTGTAAAAGAAAGAGAACTTGGGAAAGGAGAGACTGGGGCTTTGACAAAAGGGCTTTTTGTAAGCTGCTCCATAAATTTAAAGTTATGAGTTCAGGTGTCAAACATGTAGAGGTTCTTTGTAGAATAGACATATAAGGCTTGGGATTGCCATGATGTCAATTATGAGTTAACCTGGATATTATCATAGAATATTTAACACAAAATTGCAGAAATCATTTTATTCAATCTTCAGCATGGCCAAGCAATCTCATATTTCTCTGGAAAACTTATCTACCCATTCTCCATAATGGCTATTGCATTCCTTCTCTACTCTCCTCAAAATTCAGTCCCCTTCACTTTTCCCCTGGATGGTTTGTTTCTTCACAAAGAAAATAGAAACCATCATCCTGGGAATCCCTCTGCCTCTGAGCACCACCCTTGCATATTTTTGCTTCCTGTAACTGGGAGAAGTACACTTCCTCCCACGTATGGCTCACCCCCTTACTGTGCTCTGGATCCCATGAGCAGCAATCACTCACCCCTCCAGTAGCTTCCTCCTCACATCACACTGAAACATACCACCATCTCTGCCATTCTGAAGATTCCCTCCCTCCACTCTAGTTATTCCTCTAGCTACTTCTCTTCTTTGCTTCAAAACCAAAAAGTTAAGAGTGTTATCCATGTTGATGGTCAGTGCTTCTTCATGTCTCAGACACCTCTTATACCTGGAGCCTTGCTTCTTTTTCCACCTCTAAATGGATACAGCTCTGACAAAGCTCACGCAAGATCTCTATTTTACCAAACCCAACCAACACTTCTTAGCCCTTATTTGACAGTTTTAAACACTCCTCCTTAAAATGCTTCCATCAGCATCCATGATGCCACATTCTCCTAGTTTTTCTCCTTTTGTTCTCGTCACTCTTAGTCTTTTTTGCCAGTTCCTAGGCTAGGCTCCGTTTTCACTCTATCACCTTTTTCCAGATGACCTCAGTCACTCACATGGCTTTAAAAACTAGCTATATTTGGATGACTCCCAAATATTTCTAGCCCACATTTCTCTGCCAGGTCCTAGTGCCTAGAGGCACTGCAAATTAAATCTCCATAAACTTGATTGTGGCCTTTATATCCATCACTTTTTGCCATTCCTTTTGTCATCACCTTAGTTCAGTGCCTGTCACTTCAGGCCTAGAGTATTACTGACAACTCCAAATTTGCCTCTATCTTCCATTTTATTTCCCAAAGAATTCATTTTGCTTACTGCTTCAAGATAACTGTTCTAATATATTCTACTGTAATTGTGTCACTCACTCACAAAATTTGAGTCCCCATTGCTTACTGGCTAAAATACAAATTCTTTAGACTCCTCTTTCCCTTACTTAACTCTGGCCAACCCATTAGCATGGTCTTGTCTTCTCTATCTCCAGAGTATATTCTAAACCCAAACACTTCTCACTGTCTCTGGTGCTACCACCACAAGATAATCATCTATTGTCTGGAATACTTCTTCAACCTCTAACTGGTCTGCTTACTTCCACCATTGTCCTGCTACAATCCATTATTCATATAGATGCCAAAGTAATTTTTTTAAAGTGTAAATCAAATCACATCTCTGCTTTGTTTAAAATTTAAATAGTTTCTCATAGAATAACATCCAAATTCTTATGAGATCACAACTGATGAAACTGTATATGATCAGCATCCTCATTTTCCACCAGCCTCTATCTAACTCACTGAGCCTGAGCCACAGATACCTCCTTATTACTTAAATACACTGTATTCACCCCTTTTCTCCTTAGGACTTTGTTCTGCCTCAAATGTTTTTTTCCCTCATACCGCCACATGGTTAATGCTTTCTCGTAATGTAAGTGACAACTCAGATGCTCCCTCCTCAGAAAAGCTTTCCCCAACTACCCTAGCTAACACAGATCTCTACAGATTATCTCTACAAATCATCTACCTGCTTACGTGTATATTATCTGTCACCCCTTCACCCACCCCACCAGAATGTAAGCTCCAATAATCCTACCAAGATTTTGGCAAAGACATTAGTTCTTTAGTTCTTTCATTCAGTTATGTGTTCATCTGTCTATCTGTCCATTCACTACTATCATCCTTAAGTTACTTCATATTTATTGAGGACCTGTTATATGGCAAATGCTGTGATGAGCACTAAGGATACATGATGAATTAAACAAGATCCTTGTTCTAAAGGAGTTTAAAGTCTGCCATAGTTATTCTCAGACCTGAGAGTGAAATTTATTGGGGACCTTGTTAAAATATACACTCTTTTCCCACCCTAAGAAATCTCAGTTCAGAGGGCTAGGAATCTAATCTTTAAACAAGCACTAGGTAATTCTTTTTTTTTTCTTTAAATTTTTTATTGTTATGTTAATCACCACACATTACATCATTAGTTTTTGATGTAGTGTTCCATGATTCATTGTTTGTGCATAACACCCAGTGCTCCACACAGAATGTGCCCTCTTTAATACCCATCACCAGGCTAACCCATCCCCCCACCCCCCTCCCCTCTAGAACCCTCAGTTTGTTTTTCAGAGTCCATCGTCTCTCATGGTTCGTCTCCCCCACCGATTTACCCTTCATTCTTCCCCTCCTGCTATCTTCTTTTTTTTCTTAACATATATTGCATTATTTGTTTCAGATGTACAGATCTGTGATTCAACAGTCTTGCACAATTCATAGCGCTCACCATAGCACATACCCTCCCCAATGTCTATCACCCAGCCACCCCATCCCTCCCACCCCACCCCCACTCCAGCAACCCTGTTTGTTTCCTGAGATTAAGAATTCCTCATATCAGTGAGGTCATATGATACATGTCTTTCTCTAATTGACTTATTTCACTCAGCATAACACCCTCCAGTTCCATCCACATCGTTGCAGATGGCAAGATCTCATTCCTTTTGATGGCTGTATAATATTCCATTGTATATATATACCACCTCTTCTTTATCCATTCATCTGTCGATGGACATCTTGGCTCTTTCCACAAGCACTAGGTAATTCTAACACAGTGATCAAATGTATCATCTCCTATTTCTTCAATACCAGTAACACACTTCAGGCTCTGTATTTTTAGATTTCTCTGAAAGAATGTTAAGCCTTCTTGAAACCATCGTCATCCATTGGCTTCCACTACTTACTTCTGAAAGCTTTCTGAGTATTTTCTTAGCTTCCTTTTGGGGCTTACCATGGATATATTCCACCTCTTATAAGTTGTTTCATCCATAGCCTGTGGTGATATTAAACACCCCCATGACTTCAGCTACCAATTTTATTCTTATGACAATTAAGTCTATTCCTCCACCATATTTTTATGCTCCAGACATCTGTATTCCGCTAGATACCTTCCTCTCTTAGATGTACTCAATCACTTCAACTTCAGCTGTGCAGAACTGAACATTTCTTTGCTGACATATCTATGCCATTTTTATGTTCCCTGACAGTGAAGTGTTCCATTGTCTACTCAGTTGTCCAAGACCAATAAAAAGTGAATTGTAATAAATTATTTCATACATTCCATTATTCATAAATAAGGCCCCCGCTCCTTTTAATTCTACCTTCTTGACATCTTATAATCTGTCCCATTTAATCCTCATTGTCACTACATTAGGGTTTCCCCTAGGTTATTATAATCTTTTAGCTCAAGTCTGTCTCCTCCCCACCTTACCCCTTGGGTAAGCCACAGGGCTGTCATCATCATACATGTGAAGGGCAAATCTGATCTTGTTCTTGTTCCCCATTCCCTCAAAATAAAATTTTGCATCGTTCCCCATTCCCTCAAATAAAATTTAAACTCCTTAACACAATGCAATCTGTCCTTGGGGA